GAATACCTTTGACAAGAAGTGAAGAATTCACAAATATGTGCAATAATGTATGCAGATCATAACAAATTTACTTTCCAACAGAAATATGAAGACTGATGGGAAAGATTTTATAATTGATCATCTTTTTTTAAATCATGCAAAAAACTGACACATGTGTTATTTATATGTATGTAGGTGCTTCAGACAAAGAAACAAAATTTCTAGGAATATTCTTCCACTCCACCATATCATAGGTTCCTCAAATGAATTATATGTGCAGCAAATTATCCAAATTAGTATGTGCTATACACAGAAAGACAAATCTTGTAAATGAGGAAACTGTTTTTACCACCAACTATGACTTTTTCCAGTCAATCATAGAGTACAGGATTCTGGGATGCAACATGAATAATTTCTCTTCCCACAAGAAAAAAACAAACTAGTATATTCTCACAAAAGGATAAATAAATCAAGAGTAGTAGGAATAGACCTATAATGAGGTACCATGCTCACACCATATAATTCTTACTCCTGGTAATATTGAAATCTCATGGAATAAAGTGAATTCCTGACTAGAGGAATTTAGTTCATCATCATTGAAGAGGCCTTTGAGGGGTTTCTAGATGTTTTCAATGTAAACGACTTTCACATGTATTTTATCTTTGATTTCATCCAACACCCAGTCTATTTTGTTTATAAAATTTCAATTCTGCAGGAATATGATCAGGAATACAACTTAGATGGTGTTTGCACAATGGTTTCATGGTTTCAGTTGCTGGACATGCATTTTACATCTGGTATTTCAAGTATTTTACATTACCTGTCAAAGCAAAGCAGTATTATGTACTTACATAATCTGGAAGCCAATGAGGTGAATCTTATAGAAGTTGTTGGTTCCTATATCAAACTCATCTTGATCCTTGCAGTCCATTTGATGAGTGGTTTGTAATGAACTCAGATAGTATCCACTACCTATTTGATGGTAGGTACATCAAAAATAATATCATTGAGGATGAATTCAAAAATACAGAACTTTGAAATTACTTTATGAATGAAATGAAATGGATTTATACCTAATGAGGCAATAATTTTAAAGACCTCTTGAGATAACTGATATTATATTGATATGGTTTATAGTCCTTCTACTTTTCATTACATTCAATACATATTGATATTTAATGTTGCTGGTTGTTTTATTGTTGTTATTATTGAGATTTTAAAATTCTTGAAACTTTGTTTATTATTTGTTTTTGTTTGTCATCTGGCCTCCTGTCTCCTGACAGTACTGACATTGACAATTTGACCGACCAGTGAGCAAGTGTCAAGTGTCTATCACCAATGTCTCGGAGCAGGACCTCATGATGGGGTTGGCTTCATTATTCTAACAGATGCGATGAATAATTGAGATAATTTTTCCGCATAACTTCTAAACGGTATAAGCCACGATCGAAATTTCCTGCATAAATGTATGACGATAAAATACATTTTCCTGATAATCTTCTACATTTTTAATAAGGTTATAAAGAATGTTTTCAGAGGGTGGGTCGTCATTTTAGAAGACAACTTTTTTTTCTTGTATTTTTTGTTTGTGAAAAAATTAAAGCATTCTTTTAAGCGGGAAAATTAAATAAAAATTTCCCTTTTATCAAAATACAAAAATTGTAACCGTCTTCGAGATATTTGAGTTTTTGTACATAAACATCGTTACTATTAATTTTTTCATTCAGTTTCCTGGTTAGTGATATTATTACTGCGATTTTTGACCGAGGTTTCAAGAAATTTGGTGTTATTCGTTATGCCGGGATGTTTCCAGCTCGATGAATCCCAAATCCTAGAAAAATTTGAGGATTGTGCGAAGATTTCGTGAGATAGAATGTTGTAAAACGAAGAATACAGATGGTGTCTGGCCAAGATAAGTTCGACGCATCCTGAAATATTGTTACTAATGCATTGATCTGCTGATATCTTGTGACACAAGAGCTCAAATATCTCGAAAACGGTTAGAGTTTTCGTATTTTGATGAAGTACAGTCTTCATGTAATTTTTCACGCTGTATCAAATGCTTCCATTATTTTTACAAAAAAAAATACGAGGAAAAAATCATGACCCACCCTTTATAACGATATCAGAAATGTAGGAGTGTATGAGAAGAATGTATACATTTATGCGAGTAACTTCAATCTGAGGGCTTTAACCGTTTAGAAGTAATTCGGGAAAATAATTTCAATTTTATCAAATTTGGGAATATATCTCTATAATTAATATATACATCATCGGCAATCAGTTTATTCATCTACACTTATTTTTCAATGTACTATCATCTCCAGAATAGCTATTCAAGAAGTTTATCCTACCATCAAGGATAACTCTTTCAGGTACAGGAATTTCGAAATATAATACCCCCACGATGTACAGCTTTATTTTTCGTCAGATTTTCAAGGGATTCATTAACAAACTAACTCCAAATGTCTCAATAGATAAGAACAAATATAAAATAATTTCAGAATTTTTCAAGTTTTACAAAAAAACGGTGGGTCAAAATGTAACCCACCATTCCATAAGGTGAAAGATTTCATGAGAATCGACTCACTTCAAATCACTGTGAAACGTCTGCAAACTTGTTTTGTTCTTTGCAAGACAGAGTGAAACACACAACCAGTTTGTTCCAACTTCAAACTTTCCTGAATTGCAAAGAGCATTATCTCCTTCGACTTGTTCGTATAGGTTGATGAGCACTCTGTGTGACTCTCATTACCGGGCTTTGACTGAGTGCTTTTCTCTTTCTGACTCGTATATTCGATTGTTGTTCTCGATGAAGATACTGATATTTACTGACGACTAAATGAACAAATCTTTCATTGATAACTTTGAAAGATATCGAGTATTCTGCGAAGAATAAATGAGTTGACTATATAGCGGTATCTGAGGAAAAGATTTCATGAATATCTGTTCCTTTATATGTCTCTCCAGTCGTCTGATAATTCTACTTAGTACCACTCCACACCATTTTTCTCTCTATCCCTGGTTTCAACTCCGCGATAGGGGTATCAAATCTTCTGGGTCCCAGGTATCCATATATAAGTACTGGTGTCTCGATATTCATATCAGACAGTATAAAGTTGTTAAAATTGAATTCATTTTCATTTTCCTCATCATTATCCTTGAAAAATGTCTTGGTCATGCTGTATGGTGGGACAAATTTCAAACAGCGTAGATTTTCACATTTTGTGAACAAAAAATAAACATTCGAGTTGGAAAAATTTAACAAGTAGGTTACCTATGTTGCCTAGATAGTATTTAATGCAACAAAAAATGTAATAACATGATGAGCATGAAATTTGCAGCCGCAAATCGAGAGGAGAAACACAGCGTACGGAACAAGTTTCGAGTTTATTCTATTCACTAATAATGTATTGTTTTATTCACTTCAGCTTAGAACATATGATTCAAAAGACCAATATGAGTGAGTAATATGGGGCGGGAGAGAAAATAAACCGTCGTACCACAAATCATAAGCCCATTGCAGAGCGGGATATATTTTGTCCCAGCATACTTCTAACTCCAAGAAATTCGTGGTTCAAATTCTGCACCAAAGTACTTGAAAGAGATAATAATCAAAATCATAGAACCTTAGCCTATTTCGGATCATCAACTGAAAAATTAGCTTCATTTCTAGATAAACAGGACTTGAAAGTGGCATATAGAACAAATAATACGTTGGGACGGTTTATCAAGGATAATAATGACAAAACTTCTAAATTCCAAAAATCAGGGGTATACAAACTCAAGTGTGGATCTTGTAAGGTATATATCGGTTAGACAGGTCGTACTTTTGATCAGCGCATTCATGAATATGAGATGAATTTTATGAGAAAGAAAACAAATTCAGCATACGCCAACCATATATTAGAAGAAAATCATAGTTTTGATGATAATTTCGAAATTCTACACGTAGAAAATGAAGGAATGAAACTCAATCATTTTGAATCATTAATCAACAAACTCCAAAATTCTGACATTTTACTCCACGATCAATTAGACCTCAGTAGTTCACTATTGTTGAATTTGTTTTCTTACTAAGAAATGATATGTATTTGCTTTCAACTCTTTCAAGTTAATCCGGTACACCGTATTTTGATGTAGATATATTGTGCATAATTTCCAAAAATGGAGTTTTATCGCACCTGTCCACAGGTAACTAATTCTTCAGGTTGGAGTAGGATATATATATAAAAGTTAAGCAAGCCAACGTTAATTTAGTTCATTGTACCAGTATATCACCTGACGAAGCTACTGTGTTAGCGAAACATGTCGTGTGTTTGAGAATTTTGTGGAAATCTCATCGTTTGTGAAGTTTTTACATTAGCCATGGATTTCCATCAAGTAACGGCTGAGTCAATTAAAAAAAAAGTTTGTTTTGTTTGTTTCAACTTAGGTTGAGTCCATTTGAAACGCAGTTTATGTTAGTTTCAAAGCATTCAAACTTGGTTTGTACTTGTCAACACCATATTTCGATGTTGAAAATAACAATCTCCAGGAAGTGGGACACTGAGGTTCTGTTGTGTGTACTGCTGTGGTCTGATAACAAAATATTCAATTATCAAATCATCAAGTTTTATTGTATATGCTTTACCAGTATAACATCACCTACCCAAGACGTGGTTTCAACATTTACAGCGGCAATCAACATTATTCAATTGCTACTGGACAATAAGATCTAATATACCTTCTCATTTATTGAACCTGAGCTGACTGAACTAAACTTGTCAACTAGACGAACTAGTACATATCAATTTCAGATGTCAATGAACTAACTCAAAATTCCGTTCGAATAGCAAAAGGAATAGTATTTGAGTGAGAGTAAGCTGATAAAACCTTGAACTGAGTTTATTCTACTCTGAGTTATTAATCGAACGCACCCCTGGTGTGCAAATTCCTGCGTTGGGAGCTAAATATTGGATGACAGTGCGGGAACTGTCTGCAGGCATTCGAATGAGAACCTAACCCTGTTTCAACTTGTCACTGTTGCATCATCTCATCATCTGTCAGTTTGTGTTTATTTATTTATAAATTTGCAATAATTATTATTTATATACTATTATTATTTGTTAATAGACATGATTAATTGAATTGTTCAAAGTCAAAGGAGAATTTCAAGAAGAAGGGCTGAGAAAATGTTCGGATAGTGCCTCAAGGAATATAAATGTAGATGTTAATTTGAATATAATTGGCAGGTTTACAGCAAGTCTACATCTATATCACTGCTACTTGCTCTTGCCGCTATGTTCCTCGCTACGTTAATTATCTGAAGATAAATAAGTTCCAGTTATCTAGTCAGTTCATTATGATACTTACCATTGTTTTCAACAAACTGAAATCATTCATTATCATCCTATTGAATGTTTTTGGGAAAGCCTTGTGTTGCTTCAGAAAACGAAGACGAAACAGTTGTGATTCCATTCCTCTGACTCACGTCATTTCCAATGAACCAAAAATTGAATTGCAAAACTGGAATGACTGGGGTGATGGTTCTGTGAACCAAGAACCCAAAACTGTACAAGACCATATTGAGGTCTACAGACAACAAAAAGCTCTACTTACCCAACAAGTAGAAGACACACATAATCCTGAGGAATCAGCAAACTTTTTTGAGGATATGATGCCTCATATTACTAAACAAACTAAAGTGTTGATTGGTAATGACCAAGGTAACATTGATAATGGTACAAGTAGACTGAACTTCATTGATGATTGTGCTGATACCATAGTAAGTTGCATTGAAACTATAGTTTTTGTTTTTACCAGCAGCATTATTTATCATTTCATTAACCCAAAATCACTTCATTGTGTTGATGAGATTTGTTTTGTTTTGATTTAGAACTCTGAGCAAAGGTCCCAAAATGTTTCATATACCAAGTGAAGTTTTTTAAAAATATTTGATGTTGTGAAGACAGTATGCCTATGTATATACAGAGAAGTTCACAAAAAATGGCCAGTGCTGTATCTTCTGAATCATTCTAGATCGGATTTCAAAAATTGGTTGGTAGCAAGTATACTTAATTGTTCATTGATTGACAAAACAATTTTTATTCAATCACCTCTGGTCTCACCAGAAACGACCCTAACTTTTGATTCTTCAATGGGACACCCTGTATTTCATTCCATGATTGGTTAGGGATTATTATGATGAATTCAACAATACCAGGTTTGATAGGGTTAATTCAAACCACTACAAAGATATTCGCCTTCTAAGTTTCCATTTGCTCAATAAGTGGGACCCAGAAAGAAGTTTCCATATTACAAAGTCACACCCATTGGAAACTTAGGACGCCAATGTCTTCATAATCCTTTGAAATAACCCTATCAAATTCGATATCATTGAATTCATTATAATAATCCCTAACTGATCATGGAATAAGATACAGGGTGTCCTATTTGAAAATCAGAACTTAGCATAGCTCATTACACTATTGCAGTCGGCTGGCCGATCGGTGACTTCTTGTCTATTGAGTCTCCACGCTCGGATCAAGTTGAAATTCTTACATATACACATCATACATTGGTACGGCCGAGCTTGGCTGTGTATGTTTTAATCTGGTTAGATATAAGTACTCTATATAGCTTCGCAATTTCAAAATCATCATATACAGTGTGTCCCACTTACCGTGCTCACCATGGGTATCTTTTTAACGGTGAGAGATACGAGGTTGGTTAAATGACACCAAATGTGGAGTTTGTCAAGGCCAACTATAATGTGAAAAAATATTTTGATAAAATCTATTCGTTTTTGTTTTATATGCAAAAAACAGATTTTGATCATTTTCATGTCTCCTCCGTAACTTCTTTATTTATGAAAATATTCAAATAGGAATTTCACATTCTTATGGCAGTTTTTCAAAGTGATTTCGAAAAAAATCTGAAATTTTTACCAACTCTTCTAGAATTTGAGATATCAGCACCAACTTTAGTTTTTCAAATGTAGGTCATAGCTCATTATGACTTAGTTACAAATAACTTTTTTTTCTCTTACCGATGATGTGTCGCAGTTATAGTTTTGTGTTGATAACAACGGAGTTATCGTCATTTATACAAAAACAAAAAATTATTTGGAAGCCGTCATCTTGAATTTATAAATGTTAACAAAAAAATCATGATCTCCGACCTCAAAAACCCCCACCTACCAATTTTGAATGGAATCGGACCAAATCTTGTCCGCCATCTTGGAGCAGCCATTTTTTTTATTTCAACAAAAAATTCCATAACTCCGATTAACTTGGAATTTGGCAGGTGTTCAAAATTTCGGTGACAATACATTATGGAATTTTTGTTGAAATTTAAAAAAATGGCTGCTCCAAGATTTGGTCCGATTCCATTCAAAATTGGTAAGTGGGGGTTTTTGAGGTCGGAGATCATGATTTTTTTGTTAACATTTATAAATTCAAGATGGCGGCTTCCAAATAATATTTTTGTTTTTGTATAAATGACGATGACTCCGTTGTTATCAACACAAAACTATTACTGCGACACATCATCGGTAAAAGAAAAAAAAAGTTATTTGTAACTAAGTCATAATGAGCTATGACCTACATTTGAAAAACTAAAGTTGGTGCTGATATCTCAAATTCTAGAAGAGTTGGTATAAATTTTATATTTTTTTCGAAATCACTTTAAAAAACTGCTATGAGAATGTGAAATTCCTATTTGAATATTTTCATAAATAAAGAAGTTACGGAGGAGACATGAAAATGATCAAAATCTGTTTTTTGCGTATAAAGCAAAATCGAATAGATTTTATCGAAATATTTTTTCACATTATAGTTGGTCTTGACAAACTCCACATTTGGTGTCATTTAACCGACCTCGTATCTCTCACCGTTGAAAAGATACCCATGGTGAGCATGGTAAGTGGGACACACTGTATAATTGATGAATCAACTAAAATTCATATAATGCATTATTTTCACGAAATCATCCATTCTAATTGTCACCTATCAATCTGGATATCAAAATTCGTGACTGATGATATACCCACACAATATTTATCCATTCTCCAATGAGTTTAGGTTTTTCAAGGGATAATTTCAACATCAGCAACATTATTCATTCACTGAATTATATTAGCCCCAAATCTCATGATTCATAAACGGTTTTGATCTATTCACGATTGGTCAGGGTGTAACTAGGTGTCAATTGCATATAATAAGTGTATTTTTTGCGTTAACTACACTACTACCACTATCGAAAGTAATTACTTTTCATCCTTTTGGTGTTACTTTCGAATGGTTATTTCAGAACCCCTATAAATTACCACATCCGTGTGATTTTCCTTTATGAAAGTGTGAGTTGGCACCACTGTACACGGTATTACCAAATTTCTAATAATATTGATAAAAATTCATGGAACTTCTAGAATATTATTTATTTCCAAAGACGCATGATACCTGCTCGGAGCAGAGATTATACATGCAATGTATGGACCAGGAAGGAGTGGGGTGGCTCATTAATAGTCATTGTGGTGCTTTTCTTGTTTGGTGTGTCGTGTGTTGAAGTGGTTGAAGTTTGTTCGGGCTTCAGATTCAGCAGAAAAAATAAAAATAGTCATGGCGAGCGTAAGAGAGGTAGTATGATCTGATGGTAACCCATTTGTTATCATTTCATTAAAAACAAAGAGTTGACGAGCTAGTTACTAGAGCAACATCTACTCTGGCCGATCCAGATTCTGAGGGCAAGAAAAGTCACTGGTTGGTAGAATTGATGAATATACTTCTTATGTTCATGTCATTTGGCCTCTTGCTACGATATCTCCAAGGCAATCGATCGAGTCTGGCACCACGGACTCCTCGCCAAGCTTCCATCTTATGACTTGCCTCCCCAGCTATGTTCTCTGCTAGCTAGTTTTCTCTCAAACAGGTCTCTCCATGTAGTGGTCGACGGAGTTTCATCTGACTCTCTTACCATAAACGCTGGTGTTCCGCAAGGATCAATTCTAAGCCAACACTATTTCTACTCCATATCAACGATTTGTTGGAAGCAACTTCATGTCCAGTACACAGCTTCGCGGATGATAGTACCCTCTATACCGCCTTCTCTTCCAGGGCTCCAATACCAGCCAGGCAAATCAGAAACGAACGAGGGAGGAATGTTGAAAACATAAATATGGACTTGGCAACAATTCCCGAATGAAAATCCAATAACTTGCTCACAAACTCACCTACTTCTCTGGAACACCGTGAAAAAGATGGCGATCTGGCTCTATTTTATAGATATTTTCATGGACGATGCTCTTCTGAAATATCAATATCAATTTTTCCTCCCTTGGCAGTCCTCGCGAGATCAACCCGTCGAGTTGAGGCTTCGCACCTCTTCGTGGTCACTTTGGAGACCTGCAGAACATCTCTTTCCAAAGACTCGTTCATTCAACGAACAGCGAGGCTCTGGAACATTGCCAAGAGAGGTGTTCCCCGAGGCATATAACCTCCAGAAATATTAGAAGAACACCGATTCCTACCTTATTTTCCTTGGTTCTCACGATGTTCTCTGAACATTACAGGATATCTCTTTTCGTGGGAACTAGAACATAAAAAAATCTTCTCAATGTAAGAATTCGTCGTGAGGTTCTACATTGAGAGTAATGGACGTAGGACGGTTCACGTCTTTCTATAATTTGAGGTTTTCTATTTGTTCAAATATTCTACATAATTTTTTTCGAATATTTTCGATAAAACAGGCCACACAAATAGCTTTTAGGGCTATTGTCAAACTATCTTTCTGACATCACTTACTATAAAAACACGAATTTCCATGACTACTAATGACGTTGATTACCTTCCAAATTCTCCTTACCTAACCCCGCTCGCTCCTACATAAGTCCCCCAGACCGACCAGGCAGACTCGCGCCTAAGTGTTCCACATAAATGAAACCATTCCAGAAGGAAATTGTGCTTGTCTCCAGTCTTGTTGAAACCGATGTAGCCAGCTCTCCGTCTATTAGGGCTATCAAGCAATATTTTGAGATTTTTGATTTTGACATTGACCTGACGTTTTCAACGCCAACTGGAGGTGATATAATTGCCAAAACTTTTGGTACTTTTGTCTCAAAATTGTAGAGTATGCGTCAGCCTCAAAATCCAATTTTCGTTAACAATATTATTTGTTACCGTTCGGCTACCTATAGTCTTTTATGATAATATATAGTATGATGGATGTTATTGTGTAACCCCCGAATAAAATGATTGAACCTGATAAATGTAAATAGTGAAGAAAAAATCAATTCGTTATCATAAAAAATGTTCAATACGACAGAATGAACGACGAATGCATTTTTTTTCGCTTTAAATATCAATAATTACCTCAAGTACAGTTATTATTTTCCTGAATGTGAAATCTTAAATAAGAGTACATACAATTTGATGTGATTACAAGGGCTGGTCAAGCCCTCACTGTTGTATCGGTGGTAACGGTCACACGGGCTTCGAAATCACAACATTTATACAGTGCTTTCGTGAAGTACTTTTTGTAACGGGCATACATAACAGCATAGCATAACAGACCTGAGACTTATAGTAGATTGTTTTATTATAGGATCTAATGTGACACTTTGTTTGACAAACGAATTTTGCATTTGCGAGGCAGAGTGTCTAGCGAAGCCGAGCGAAATCGAAATTTGCAACCGAACTAAAATATGCATCAAATTATCCGTGTGGTGGGAATATTTCTACCTGCACTTTACCTGCATTTACAGATCAGGTTTATTCGATTTTCAAGAATGTTCGAATTGTAGTTTCAACATAAATACAACCACAGAGTGATCCATTTGTGTATTCCATTGAATAGATGAATCGATGAATTAATTTGGACCATATGTGTCCGCCCCAATAGCAAATACCGCACCAGTGCTAGGCATAGGAAAAATAAGTGGAAATAATGTTGGGTTAGTGATCTGCCGAAATCGGGAACAAATCAGGTATGCGTCACAACCCAAATAACCAACCGTAACAATGTTGTTTATTCTTGATGACCTAGTACATCCTTTTCGGATCCTAGGAGCTAAAGTTCAACTTTAACCCCTAGGAATTGAACGAGTTGCCTAGCAATACACCTATATTTGTGTCAGTAATAGAAACGTCAATTCATGATCTGATTTTTGCATTGGACGACTTTTGTGTCGGTTGCAGAAAAAAGGAACTTCCATTCAATCTATCTATTGCTAGATTTTCACAAGATTTCAATGCAAATGATGCGGGGTCCTTTGTTCATAATATGATATCCGCGTCTACCTCTGAGTAAAATTTGGTGCTTTTATGAAAAAGTTAATTTGCTGTCCTAATACGGGAGTAGAAAATCATGATTTATTGAAATAATCTTAATCATTTTCAGCTAACTGCCGAGCTCAGAGAATGGGAAGACAGTTCAGGGTGGGAAAATGAACATTTGGATCATTTGGCGCAAACAGCGTTGAGGGAAAAAAAGAAACAAGATAGGGAAAGAAAAGCGTGGGAACAACAACAAAAACGATTGGAGAAAGCAGCCAGATCACTAGGGTCAAGATTGAGTACATAGTGCTTGTATATATGTATATATATTGTATGTTGACTGAATTGTACCTATATGTGGTACTATTTATAATACTAGTTTTTTAGCGAATATAAAGTGTCCAGAAATACATATGAAGCATTTCATTAAAAAGGAACATCCTCAGATATAGACAATAAAAACGAACACTCCACACGGCTTTCTCTTCAGAACTGAGTCGAAATTGGCCCAATCACGCTACACACGCAAGTTGTAGCAGGGCGGTTGGAGCCGATCTAGGAAGCTAGGAAGGTCTGGCGCTCCTGCCGCCCTGCAAAGGTGGCGATCTAGGAAATTGGCCCTGCCTGCCTATACACACGCCACAATCTAGGAGGCAATTTAGGGTCAACCCCACTTTCACACCCTAGATTGTCCCTGCGGCAGATACAGGCCCTTGATCGCTGCTAGCGTTTTTTGGATTAACCTTTTTTATGTTATTCCGGAACGACAAACGTGTCTGTCCAATTTTATTCCCCAGGTATTTCTAATCTTGAGCGTCCGTAACCTCTGTACCCTTAACGGTCATAGGTGGGCGTGGCGTAAAGTATTAGATTCGTGGATTTGCGAGAAAAATTAATCACTTCTGTTTTCGAATTGTAGAATCCAATCTTTGACTCTTCAAAGTACCGTATGATACCCCTGTCCAGATGAATCTTGATCTGTGTCCTGGCGATGTCCGAGTCGAACTAATGCGCATAATATGATGCCGTATCGTCGGCATATAACGCAGCACTCGTCCGCTCGAACACAGGGTGTACGTGTAAACTGAATACAGCAACCTGAAAAGTTCTACACGAAAAAAAAAAATTGATCTGGAGAGATTAAAGCAAGATCTCTTAGAAGTTGATAGAAATTTCTTGGACACCCTTGACATAGATGTAAACTATGGAAAAATAGCTAATTGTTTTGAAAAAAACACTTTTTATCAAAGATGTAAAAACAAATTCAGGAAAGACTCCAAACCCTGGTTCACCTCGAAAGTGCTACAAGCGATAAAACATCAAGAGTATCTATACAAAAAGAAAAAAAGATTTCCAAGTAATGAATATTTCTTCGACCAACACAAAATCGCTCAAAAATCTGTAAAAACTGAAGTCAAAGCTGCGAAGAAGAAATATTATGAAGAAAAATTCAATAGAACTAATGGGGATCAAAAAAAAACATGGAAAATCATAAACAACATCATTAGAAACGAGTCAACAACCTATACAAACCATATTTCTTCTATAAAAACAGATAACACTGACACCATCACAAGTCCGGAAGAAGTCTGCAACTAATATATGAACAACTATTTTGTTGGAATTGGGGAAAAACTGGCCGCAAACATCACATCCCAAAATATAGACCCTGCCAAGGAAACAACTTGTGATGCCAGATTCTCATTCACCCCGCCGGTAACACAGGAGGATATTGGTAAAATTATAGATGACCTGGATACATCCAAGGCACCAGGATGGGATCGGATTGAAGCAAAGACTGTGAAAGAGTGTAAACTTGAACTACAAAGTGTTTTGTATAAACTTATAAACCAGTCCTTATCATGTGGTAAAGTACCAGAAGTCTTCAAACTAGCGAAAGTGTCACCTATGTATAAGTCCGGTGATAAGGAAGACCCAAATAACTATCGCCCTTTATCAGTGCTTCCAATACTATCGAAAATAATTGAGAAAATCGTGAACAAGCAACTGCTGGAATATCTTGAAGAAAATAGTATATTGACCAAATCACAGTATGGCTTTCGCAAGTCAAGTGACACCACCAGCGCTGCTGTTGATCTGATATCTGAAGTACAACTGAAAATTGATAAAAACAAAAAGTGTGCTCTTGTTTCACTTGACTTGTGTAAAGCCTTTGACACAGTCAACCATGATATCTTACTGGAAAAAATGAGAATGATCGGTGTTCAGGGGAAGTATGTCACATGGTTTCGTGACTACCTATCAAATAGAAAGCAATTCATCCAATACGGTTCATATTCTAGTGAAAAGAAAAAAATTACCTGTGGTGTACCACAGGGATCGATTTTAGGTCCCACCCTTTTCCTCATTTACATCAACTCTTTAACGAACATAACAATTAGAGGGGAAGTCCGTCTGTATGCAGATGATACAACAATTGTATACTTTGGAGAAACATGTGATGTCATCTCTCAGAACATCGAAAAAGACCTCCAGTGCTTGACCAAATGGTTATCTTGCCATAAGTTGACCCTCAATTTGAATAAATCTTCTTTCATGTGGATTGATAAATGTAAGGTGCCTGATTACACCAAAAAAGAAATATCATTTGGAAATAGTACTATGAAATACTCTAGTAAAATTAAATTTCTTGGCCTGATCATTGATGAAAAGCTTTCATGGCATGAGCACATTGAATATGTACGCAAAAAAATTATAGGACCAGTAGGTGTTCTTCGGAGATTAAGTTATACTGTGCCAAAATATCTATTGAGGTCAGTTTACTTCTCCCTAGTTCATTCCCATCTGGAATACCTAATCATCATATGGAGCTCAACTTTTGAGAGTTATATAACACCACTGAAAACACTACAGAACAAAGCAATCAAAAACCTGTATCAATTACCAATGAGATCTACAACATCAAATTTGTTCGGCAAATACAATATTAGATCCCTGGATAGCCTCTATGTGGTGAAAGTTAATGAATTTATTCATCAAGCACTGAATCAGGTGAGACACACTCAAATGGAGTTCCCTATGAGATATGAAATTCATCCATATGAAACTAGACAATGCAAAGATATATCTTTACCACGAATATGCTCACGTCATGGCCTGAATTCACTGTTATATAAAGGAGCAGCAGAATATAACAAACTCCCCTCCAACATAAAAAAATTGAATGTAAACAAATTTAAAATTGTCATGAAGAGACACGTTCCCTTGTATACCCATTGAAAGCAATATTTCATTATATCAGTCATTAACCTACTACTGTGATATATCTAATCAAATATTTTATTATCTCAACTATTTCACTGTGATACATCTTAACTTGTTTATTGTGTTATTCTACCATAATTTTTATATTTAGAACTTAACTTTATACATTTCTTATATGTTTACCTGTAGATATAGTGATTGATTATTGACATGCCCACGAAGGGCAGAAGTGTGTGATATCAAATTATTTTTGTACCTATTATTAGAGGTATCCCTATGTAACACTCTGTGTATTTTGGGATGAAATAAACGCTTAAAAAAAAAAAAAAAAAAAAGGTGACAGACACGACCCATGTGGAACACCTACCTCGAGTGGAAATCATTTACCTTGACCCTGATTTTTCTGTAATTGAGAAAGTGTCGACTTTTCGACATCCATCATAACCATCACAGCGTTTTTGTTTTTATTAAAGGCGCCTCTTTTACCACGTGAATAATCTGGGCCACTTGGGACGTAGTGGTATATGCCCCTTGCGAAACCCGAACTGTTCATCGGGTATCAGGTTCAAATCGTCCACCTGGGCCCCCATCTTACTGGGTAGAACCTCATCCACTACCTACCTTGGCCACAACACTGAGCAGTGATATGCGGCGGTAGCTTCCAGGTAGTTGGTTTTTTTCCTGTTTTTAGGATAGGTACAACAAGCTTGGTCTCGAGACACTCTGGATAGTGCTGAAACCTTATGACTATGAGTTAAGAAAATAATGGATTTGAACGACCCTGGCCTTTCGAGACTAGATCTTCAGGACAACGATGTCAATCCCGTCAAGTCCTAGTGCTTTGTTTAAATTTAGATATTCACTGATCGTTTCAATTTCTGTTGAATTTCATAATGATATAATAATGCATAGTATATGTATAATAAGTACCCACAAAGCACATGTATGTCCAATGTACGTACAATGTACGTTCACGTCGGATCGTAAGAACGTCCTATGGAAGTACTCGAGTGGACGTTCAACATTCTATGGACGTCCACTGGATGTCCTGATGACACCACTTTGGACATACTATGGATGTCTTCATTTGGATGTACCATGGATGTTTATATTTGGACTCATCCATTGAACGTACCAAATTGGAAGTAAAACGTCCAATGAAGGTCCATCGGGTGTCTTGAGGACACCACTTTGGACGTACATTGGATGTTTAAATGTGGGTGTATAATGGATGCTCATCTATGGAAATCAAATGATGAAGAATCAGTAGAGGTAACAAATATAGCTTCTTCTATTGAGATATATATTTGGTGTCGATTGCATATATATATAAATATATTGTTGATTTATGTCTTCTTCAGTCCACTTTATATTCTTGTTTCTGTAAAAGAAGAGAAATATTATAAGTTGCTATATATAGGTATAAATCGATTGTCTATACCCCAAATCCTGTTCAGCTCGACATAAGGTATTACAATATATTTTCCAAGAGAACAAACTGAATCTAATTTATATTCTTAATATAACTCTTCACTTTTCTATTCTTTGAATGGTGGAAATATTTAATGACGTAGAAGTAATCTGTGCATTTAGGTAGATTGTGTTCTTTGTTCATCAAGAATTTTCTTTTTTAGCTTCATTCTGATTGACTCGATACTCAGATTTTTAACGTTATCATCTAAAGCATTATACATTAGTGGTAGTTGGTAGGAGAAAGATGCTTTCCCAGACAGCACCAGATATTCCATGAATCTCCCTATCATATTCCTTTTGGAATATTGGAATATCCTAGAAATAATCTGGAATATTCCGGAATATCTGTGGAATATTCTCTGAATATGCGAATGGGAATTCCTCAGATAATCATAGAATATACCCAAAAGAATATTCTATGTTGAATGTTCCTGGAATATTCCAATAAACATATTCTAAAATTAAAAAAAGTGACCCAAGTAGGGATCGAACTCGTGACCTCAAGACTATCAGAGCTTTCAAATTCATTTATTTCCTCATTTCAATAAAACATCGACAATTTCAAACAGAACAAACAACTATAAAATGTATACATATACTATCCTCCGCGCAGTGCGGAGTTGGCTGGTGTTAGCCAGGGGGAATGTTCGTTCTGTGATAAGAGTCCTGACACATGAGTCCCATCTCCTGAAGCAGTGCTCCTTTTA